AATGTAGAATGTTTAGGTTTTCCACCCGAGCAAGGTCCGGTCACAGTAAGCTCTCTTCTCACTGTTCTCCTCGTTGTTGTGCCGCTCACTGTGGGTGCAGCTACCGTACTGGTTAGTTTTTACGCAAAATTGCACAATAAGAATATTTATTGCAGAAGTCTGAACAGGGTACATTACAGGTCGTCGCATTCAACTACTATTGTCATTTGTGCTAGCAATTCGATTCTCGTGTACATGTTTGCGATGGTAGAGGCCAGATGCAGAAACGCGACAACTCGTCCGCTAGTGTCTGCTCGGCTTCGTAGTTTGGTCTCACCCAAACGCTATAGCGTCTTCCCACCAAATCACCATCGCTCATCAGTATCATTCTGTCGGAAGTCACGGAGATGTTGCCAGAAGACATGAGTTCAGAAGGCACATGGATCGGAGACGGTATCGAGAAGCGGAATCCGCCCCAAGCGTCCACCGTCAGCACGGCAATGGTGTCTCGTTCGCATTCACCGAACCATCTAAATAAGAGAAATTTGGAGGGAAGAGCGAACTCGTACAGAGTAACTCGTACACTCTCACCCTTCACTATGGCATGTGAACTCGTGCTGGTCGCTACCGTACGGCTTCACCTCGCACTTCCAATTCAGTACGTACCTCGGATCGGCCGCATAAAGCACCCATTCACCATGCAACTCAACAAAATCCATTGTCACTATATTTTCGACAAAATCACCACCTCACCTGCTCAGCAACTTTCAAGGAGGTCGCTCCTTCACAGAAAGGAGCGTCCAGTTGGTTACATGTACTGTTGCGTGGCTGGATAGGATGTAAGCAAGGTAAGGAGCCGGTCATTTGCGCTTCCTAAAAATGTAGCGATAAGACTTTGGTATTCGCGCAACCCGGAAAAAACGAGAAAAAAATGCAAAATCAAGTTTTTATCTAATAAAAAAATAAATCGACTGTGAATTTTCAATTCCCATTGTTCGCAAAAGCATAAAAACTGCATCAATATAAAGCTCAACTTTTAAGGCTTCAGTCATACTTCGCCTGATGTGGCCGAATCGCGAACGCCACGCGATCTGGCCATTTGCCAAATCAAATCTGCAAATCAATGGCGCAAATGTATAAGCGCATAGCTTTTGTAAACTATTGTAAGGATGCTAAACATTCTCAAAGGCGTGGAGAATTGTACGCTATTGTAGCAATCCAACTCGCCCTGCAACTATTAAAGAATCGCGCGAAGTATGATCGTCCCTTAATACACGAGTGGCCCACAAATCTTTCTAAATTTCCCACCTTCAGAAACAATTCGGATCTCGATGCAGCCGGATGCAAAAGTGCTATTTCGTTGCCCACACGAACCAGCAGTCGATTCCGTGCCGAGAATTCAATGTCAACAGGCGAGGACTTGCAGCCAGATGCCCTATGAAGTATGTAAATTCAGAACATGCATGCTTACAAACTACAGACTTAGACAAATGGAGTAACCACATCGTTAGGGTGTCAA